ACTGGTTGCTAGATTAGAATCTATTCGTATACTTCTTACATTTTCTTATCATAAGGGATTCACTTTTTATCAAATGGATGTCAAAAATACATTTCTAAATGAATTTATTCAAGAAGAATTTTGTGTTAAGCAACCCTCCAATTTTAAAGATCACAAGTATTCGGGTTATGTTTTTAAACTTAGAAAGGCTTTTACCGGTTTAAAACAAGCTTTTAGAGCTTGGTATGAAAGATTGAGCAAATTTTTACTTTACCCTACCAAACTATCAATATTCAAACTCTTAAACGGATGAAGATAGTAAAAGAACATGGTCAGTGGGTAGCTCACGCAAAAGGGTTTAACCCTACGCAGGATCTTCAACTCTACCCTTCAAGAGCGATGAGGATGATGATACCGATGATGTACAATAAGTTCCAAATCCTCCTTACAGCATTCTAGGCTTCAGTTTCCTTATCCTTTGACTAGTGGTTTCACATTTTCCGAGGATCATTTTAATCTTCTAAACGACGGCATTGATTCCCTTATGTCCTCTGTTGACGACTTTGGTAGAATGCTTCACTAATTGCAAGTTCAACAGGCTGCCATACAAGCGCAGTAGGATGCCATTCCAACTCCACAAGCAGCAATGCAGACTTAGCAAAATGCCTTCAGCGCTCATTTCTACGATCACTTTCCTCCACCATCTCCTACTTAGCCATAATCATAGTTAATGGTTTACATCACTGTATTTTGGATATTTCTTTATGTTTTTGTGTCTTGGATACAATCTTGTTTCGACTAGCTTATTTTCTTATAGATGACATTTGGTTTTGTGGTTTGGATATCATGTGGTATTTTCAATGAAATTTCCTTACTGTAAATTTTGCTTATAAATATCATCATCTACATCCAAAAAACCGTATGCTTTGGAAGAAGCTTGTACAGTTTAGGTTGACTTGTGTACTTGAATCCCCACTTGCTTACTTTTTACTTATGCCAAAAGGGGGAAATGCATAAGATGATATTGACATGCATATATATGATGATATTGATATACATATATATTTATGATATTGATATGCATATATGTTTAACAATGTAATATGCTTGCCTTGTATAAGATATAGAGAATATATGTGTAAATGATAAGGGGGAATACATGAATCATATGTGATATCTAAAGTTCTTCATCCCTTATCAATTTGTTGCAAATCATCTTTGTTTGTCATAATAAAAAAGAGAGAAATTGTTGACTTCATGTTTTGATTATAACAAACAAATTGTTTTTATCTCTAACAATTAAATTCGATTCTTCATAGCTATTGTTACATAGTTGATCAATTGGAGACAAAAAGTTTGCTATGAAAAATTCGCAAGTAACAATAAATAAAAATCAAGATGGGGAGCATTCATGTCAATCCCTTGAAGACAAGAATTTCAACAGTCAAACATTGAATATATAAGACTTAGATGTTTCGGATTCATGTGTAAAGGTAAAATTATTTAATCTTTAGCAATGAATCAATAAAGGCTCAAATGAATGAATTTTTATGCACGAGAAAATTACTTTCATAAAAACGCTTGCATAAAAATTATTTTTCGAAGGGGTAAAAATTTCAACTTGATATTTAAACTTTTTACAATTACCTTAAAAAATAAAATGAAAATATCCTTCAAAAGCCTACATTTATCAAAATTATCAAGAAAGAAAAATTCGAGAAAGTTCTGCACAAGCAGACGTTCATTTGAGCCATGCGGACGTCTAGTTCATCTAACGAACACTTTTTAACTGTTTTGAATTCTGGTGCACAATGGCTAGTTTGATTGTCTGGCTCAGGATGCGGAGGTCCGAATGATTTGTCTAGTTTGTCAGAATTTTTGATGTTTTGATTGCTATAAATATCATTTCATTTTTCATTCCTTATAACATTTTTGAAAGTATTTAAGTGGGATATTCTTGAGCTAAATTATATGCATTTTATTTATCTTTATCAATTCATTTCACCAAGAACATTGATATGAAATTCGTCTAAAATATAATATTTACAAATATTATACTTTGTCAACAAAAACAATACAACATTATTTTTAATTATTATAATTGTTTGAATTTGTGCTTCTTCAAAAGCAACAACATAACTCAAATAAGATATTTCTTTTCAAACAATACTACAAGAAGGCCCTATTTGATATGGATAGTTTTCCATGGAAAATGGAAATTTTTTCCATTTTTCCACCTTTTTGTTGTTTGATTAGACAAAATTCCCATTGAATTCATTTTCTCGCATTTCCCCTCACATGACTTGTTTTCCATTCATTGGTGGAAAACCAATTCCTATGGTTTTCATGGGAATTGGCTTTTACAGGTTTTTTATTTTTTATTTTTTTTTATTTTTGTTGCTAGTGAAAACAAATTCTATTCACAATTGTAATAAATTTTATCCTTTTAATTGACAAATTCTTGAAAACAAAGCCAAACAAATACCAAAAGATACAAAATTTGAATATTTTTCAGGTATAAAATTATACCAATCAAGCACATTTAATTGATAATTTCCAGTAAAACAATTTCTATGGAATTCAATTCCTTGGAATTTATTTTCTTTCCAACAAAACTTCATCATTGTAATCAAACGGGCCCTAATATTCTCTTGAAGTATTAATTTAGATTATTTCTTTTTTAAGTATAATAATACAATGTTTGAAAAGGCAATAGTTCGACCCAACCAACACCTAGAGGGGGGGTGAATAGGTGTCTATGCAGAATTTAACAATTTAATTAAGTTATGCAATAAGTCACATAAATTAAACGTTGTCCAGATTCATTCACATGATTTAACTACCTATGTTGAATTGCCGGTTGAATTGAAATTGACAGAAAGCAATAAATAACACAAAAATTGTTGACGGAGAAAACCCAACTGGGTAAAAACTCCGGGCACAAGCCAGTAGGGATTCACTATAAAAGACTCCAGCTTACAGTACGCCATACATGATTGTATCTAACAATACTCTGACCTCCTTACTGTATCTACCAAAGCTCTCCTGGATTCTGCAGATCTGCGCCAAAATCCCAGCCTTGTATTTCTTCTATTTCCCGTGAATCAACAAGAACTCCAGTTCTTCAATCAACCTCCTTCCCAGATCTTCAATCAACTGATCTTCTGGAAGTAGTGAGGATTTTTTATAGGTGTTTTGTTTGAAAAGGTGTTTGATGTTTTTTCTTGAATGAATCATATGGTGAAGAGTTTTGCAATTTATCTTTTGGTAGAGAGGAAAATATTGTGCTATGTGTTTTGCCAAAGGTTGTTAATGAAAAGCGGAATTTTTGTTTATATAGTAGGTCGTTTTTGGTAGTATGGAGCGTTTAAAATTCGCGAGGAAGGAAAATCACCAAACGTCGGATGACACTGTCCCTCGAGCGAAGTGCCGACGAAACTCTAGCGACGCACTCTCGCTCGAGCGAAGTGGTGGCGAAACTCCAGCGATGCAAGTTCTGTTATTTAGGCTCGAGCGAGGTCAGGGCAAAACTCTAGCACCAATCTTGCGCCGTTTTCATCTTCAAAGCATCCAACTTTACCCTAGACCTATACATTAATTATTGCGAAATTGCAACACAAGTCCCTGAACTTTTAGACATTGACAAATTGATTCTTGACTTTACAAACTCGACAAATTAGTGATTTTGGTCACAGATTGCCAATTACAACATTTTCCTAACAAACTCCCCTTTGGCATTCTGTGACAAAATTACACAAGACAGTCAAGGACACAAAAAATGTAACTCCTAACGACCTATTCATTCAATCAAAGCAACTATCTCCTGTCGAACCTGTTTCCTGAAATACAGAAACTCAATACCAAGTGTAAAAGCACGTGAAATGAAAACAGTAGATAAAACAAGGAATAGTGCATATGTAATTAACCAGATTAAGAAGCAATAGTAATGTAAATCAAAAAACACCAAAAACATACATCAATATTGCTAAAACATCAAAACTTAATATAGTCATTAAATAGATATCAAACCACAGTTATATCACAATTAATCCAATATATCACAGTTAAATTGAGATTAAACTATCTACTCCCCCTTTTTGTCACAAATGACAAAGGATCAAAAACTAAAACTAAAACTAAGAAGCAGCACCATCCGCCCTCGGTGACTCATCACTAGTCTCTTCACTCGAGCTCTCATCCAATTGATCATGAATCCAACGCAACTGACGCTGACACACTGATAGAGCACGCCGAAATGAAGAAAGCTCAGCAGACTGATGCTCCGAAGTAGCACGTAACTGCGTGATCTCTGCCATCATACGAGCCTGCTGCGCGACTAAAGTAGATATCTGACCCATAAGCGTCACCATGGGGTCAACAGGTAAGGAAGCCACCCCTGGAGCAGAAGTAGATGTCGAAGGAAAGGCAGCTTGAAGCAAAACAGCTAAAGGAAAATCCGAACGAGGCGAAAGAAAGACACGAGAACCCCTAGTAAGAATATCAGTAATAGGATCAAAGGGGCTCCGAAAAATCAAAAACATCAACGGGCTCAGCCTGAGCGGCAGCATGAGCCGAAGAGGACGGGACATGGGATTGACTCTGGTGAATGGTCTGCTGTCCTATCGAGCGACCTATACGAGTAGAAGACCCCTCAGGAAAAGATGCACCAAGAGAAAGGACAACCCGATGAATCAAACAGGCATAAGGTAACCCTAAATGACCCGCAGGAGTACGAAAAGAAGCTAGAATCTGCTGGCACACAAAAGTAGGAAGGTCGATAGAGTCCCCATGAAGTACGGCATATAGAAAACGAGCCCGTACCATCGGTAAAGAAGAAGTATGGGAAACAGGCCACAGGTTTGTACACACGATGCGCAACAAAATCTGTCGATCAGTGGGTAATGAACCCGTGGCCATAGCCGCAGGCCCCCAGTAGACGGGGTGTTCAAAAGAGTCGAACGAACAAGGGCATCGATTGGAAGAGAAGCAGGAAGAAGATAGGGATACGTCGGATGAGGAATCTAAGGTATACCTAATGCAAGAGCTACTGCAGATGGAGTAACTCGAAAAGAATGACCTCTAAGAAAAATCCTAAACGACGACCCATCCACCTCATGAATATTAACATAAAACTCTTGAACGAGAAGTGGAGGCGGCGGTGTAAGACCAACAAGAAGGGGCTCCCAACCCCGGGAAACAAAAATAGCGGCGACGTCAACAGGAAGGTCAGATAGAATTACCTCACGCTCCATGAGAACAGGGAGTAAGGAGAATTGAGACGTGAAGACCTCCTGAGCTGTAGCAGAAATAAACCGGGATCTACTATAAGATGTCGATCCACTAGCGAGCTGTGCAGAGGTACGAGAGCGCTTACGAGCCATCTGGCACATACGGGGATGAAAAGAATAAGCATAATGTGAAATGCACGCATCACGATGCAACATGATATGAGAAGATGCACACATGAAAACACATATGATCCAATCATATAAACATGAATGAAAACACACACGGCATGCAACGGCACTCAAACAAGTAGGAAAGAAACGAAGGAAAAGAAGGAAATCAAAAAAATCAAAAGAAACCAAATAAGCATAAAAAATGGAACTTTCATCGATCATGTGGCGTGCGTGATTTCGGCACCAAATTCCAAGCACATACGAGACCCAATCACAAATCCAAACACATCCCTAAAAACTACATGCTATGGACTTCACAATTAAACAAACTACACATCAAACGAATCAACGAGGTGCAAGAACTACATTGATGAACATGGACTAAAAACTTAAAAAAATGTGAAGAAAACCATAGGAATGCACTATAATTTGGGAAATGGAAAGCAATACTTGATGCAAAACATGTGTACAAGCAAGATGTAATACCAAAATAATACAAACCAACACAATGATCAAGAAAAGAAATTAAACGAGCCAAAAAAAATTGAAAGCAAAGAAAGTTGGGAATTACCTAAAGATTTTGCCAAGAAGTCAGCGTTTCAGACCCAAGATTGTGTTAAAGATATCGAATTGAGGCCATAAATGAATTGGGAGTGAATAATTTCAATGGAAGAAGAAAAGAATTGAAGTAGGAGGAAAAAAATGATGAAATACGCGAAAAATTGAAACAGCCGCATTTTAAATATATATGTCGCTCGAGCGAGACCGGGGCAAAACTCGAGCGACATCCTTTCTGCTTTTGTCGCTCGAGCGAAGTCCAGGCGAGACTCGAGCGAAAATGAAATGTCAAAAATAGCACCAAACATTTGAAATTTATGAAAAGTAGCACAATTTTGGAAAATAACGAAAATAGGTCCAAAAATTTTTATTTTTATTTTCAGTTGTATGTATTATTATTATTATTTTTTGTTTTTGTAAAGACAAACTAAAAAATCGATGATGAAGCACGTACCCAAATATGTAAACGATATGAATAATATGCACAAAATCACAAACCCAACATTCAGAGCATGTAGACAAATCTTAAATCCACACATAGTTCAAAATCCCATGAAGTAAATTTTATACAGAACATCAGCATGAAATGTGCCACGTAGTCCATGCAAGTTAGACTCAAAACCTTAAATTAGTGAGAAATGACACGTGAAAACAACTGTAAAAGAGTGTATATTGACCAAGTGCCAGTTAAATCCAATTCCACGATGACCTATATCAAACAGTAAATTGTCACAATTTTACTCCCCCTAACTGTATGCCATTTTTTTATTTTTTATTTTTTATATATATATATTTTTAATAACATAAGAACTTAAGTGCAATTCTATCTTCATTAGGTGACAGAAATGACACCTGTAACGAACTTTTGGCCGGTGACTCCCAAGCCAGACGACCATAGGGCACCAGGTTAGAAACCCCTAAGGCTTAATTGTTCGAGTCTAATAGGCCCCGAAGACAAAAATAAGTTCAAAGAATAATGTAGAAAATGGGGAAAGACAATATTGATTAGGTTACACTCGTCACAGATCAAGTCAACTGGACAAACAACCCCAATCACAGAAGAATACCATCCCAAGTCTCACCCATACGGTCAAGACCCACCTACAGGACTACTGTGTGTGCTGTGCAAAAATGCATGACGAGCCGTATACCAAGAACTCCACAGAAAGTGAGAACTACGATGGAATCTCAGACTCGTACACATGATGAAAAATAGAGTTTGATCCTGAATGCAAACATCATAACGTCATACATGATGCACACAAAATTATTTATTTATTTATTTATTTATTTATTTTAAATTTCAAATGCAAACTTAATACTCAAAATAAAAACCAAAAAAAAATAACTAACAAACAAAATGCACCACACACACATTTATCACATACAATATATGAAATGAATAAGTACAGATATGATAAATGCATTAATATGCATGAATTCATGATCAGATAGGCAAACAAATACCAACAGCCGTCCGAAGAGACTCAAACCTCATCCCATCTAGTGGTTTCGTAAGTAGATCGGCTAATTGGTTGTCAGTAGAAACATGATCTAAGGAGACAACATGTGTTTCAACAAGTTCACAAATAAAATGATGTCGTATGTCAATATGTTTTGTTCGAGAATGTTGAATGGGATTCTTAGAAATATTTATAGCACTGGTATTATCACAGAAAATAGTCATGGTCTCTTGATTAATCTCATAATCACTCAGCATCTGCTTCATCCAGAGAAGCTGAGTGCAGCAACTTCCAGCTGCTATGTATTCGGCCTCTGCCGTGGATAGGGATATGGAATTTTGTTTCTTACTTAACCAGGCTACTAGATTGCTACCCATGTAGAAACAGCCCCCAGAAGTACTTTTTCTATCATCTGCATTCCCCGCCCAATCGGCTCGGAGTAGCCAGCCAAATCAAGATTATGATTTCTAGAATAGAAAATCCCTAGATCAACAGTACCACTCACATATCTAATGATGCATCTAACAGAGCTTAAGTGTGATTCTTTGGGATCTGTTTGAAATCGAGCACACCTTCCAGCACTAAAAGCAATGTCAGGTCTAGTAGCTGTGCGATAGAGAAGACTACCTATCATGCTTCGATATAGGGAATGATCTACACTCTTACCTGAAGGATCAAGACCTAACTTCAAGCTAGTACTCATAGGTGTCCTAGTATGCTTCTTACTATCTAACCCAAACAGCTTAACTAGATCCTTTGCATACTTAGACTGTGAAATAAACAAGCCATCCTCAATCTGTTTCACCTGAAGTCCAAGGAAATAACTCAACTCACCAACCATACTCATCTCAAATTCTTGCTTCAAACACTCGGCAAACTCATATGCTAGAGACTCAATAGGAGAACCAAAAATGATGTCATCGACATAAATTTGAGCGATAATGATAGTTTCTTCAATGTGTCTAATAAATAAGGTCCTATCAGCACCACCTCGAGAGAAACCATGTTCCTCAAGATATGACGTAAGTCTCTCATACCAAGCTCTAGGAGCTTGTGTCAGACCATAGAGTGTTTTGTGGAGTTTGTAGACATAGTGGGGAAACTTTGGATCAACAAATCCTTTTGGTTGTTCCACATAGACTTCTTCTTGAAGAAGTCCATTCAAGAAGGCACTCTTAACGTCCATTTGATGTAGCTTGAACCCTAAGGTACAGGCAAGAGCAAGCAGAATCCAAATAGACTCAAGTCGTGCAACAGGGGCAAAAGTCTCATCAAAATCAATTCCCTCAACTTGAGTATAACCCTGAGCAACTAATCTGGCCTTATTCCTAGTTATAGTACCTTTGTCATTTGTCTTGTTCTTAAAGATCCACTTAGTACCAATAATGTTACAATTCTCAGGTCTGGGTACTAAGATCCACACATTGTTTCTAGCAAATTGATTGAGTTCCTCATGCATTGCATTCACCCAACACTCATCACTAAGGGCCTCTTCGACTTTCTTAGGCTCTACCTGTGAAACATAGCTAGTATATGCTAGATTGTTTAGTACTCTCTTACGAAGCCTCATACCTTCATCCAGATCCCCAATGATATTATCCTTAGGATGATTAGACTTGACCCTAGTTGATGGTTCATTAGGGATTGTGTCTTGATCTTGTGGATGTGTTTCCTTTTCAGGAGTTTCAGGAATTTTAAGAGATGATTCAGGCACAAGCGGTTCAGTAGGATCACTAGACCTTATAAGATTATCATTTCTATCATAATTTTCAACATTCTCCCCCTCACTCACACCATCATCTATCACAACATTGACTGACTCCATCACAGTACGAGTACGTGAGTTATATACTCGGAATGCTCGACTATTTCTAGAATACCCTAAGAAGATTCCTTCGTCACTCTTAGATTCAAACTTACTCAAGTTCTCTCTATCACGCAAAATGTAGCACTTACTCTCAAACACACGAAAGTATTTGATAGTAGGCTTTTTACCCTTTAGAATCTCATATGGAGTCTGATCGGTTTTGGGTCTAAGGTAGACTCTATTTATTATGTGGCATGCAATATTAACAGCTTCTCCCCAAAAATGTAAGGCTAGCCCTTTGTCATGAAGCATGGCTCTAGCCATGTCCTAAAGAACACGATTCTTCCTTTCAACCACCCCATTTTGTTGAGGAGTGATAGGGGAAAAGAACTCATGTAGTATCCCTTCATCCATGCAGAAGCTCTCAAGATTGAAATTTTCAAACTCTTTTCCATGATCACTTCGCATTCTGGACACTTTGTGATTGAGTTTATTACTAAGCCGTTTACAAAAAGATTTTATAAGGTCACATGCATCAGATTTTTCCCTAAACAATTCTACCCATGTGAACCTCGAGAAATCATCTACCACAACCAGAATATACCGCTTACCTCCTAGACTCTCAGTCCTAAATGGTCCCATTAAATCCATGTGTATCAATTCCAGGGGTCTTTTGGTCAAAATTTTAGAAGTCTTTTTATGGATTCCTTTAATTTGTTTACCCAATTGACATGGTCCACACACAACATTTTCACTAGGACCTATTTTAGGCAAACCATTTACCAACTCCTTTTTAGCCAGTTGTACTAGACTCTTATAGTTTAAATGACCCAATCTTTTATGCCAGAGTTCACTCATATCCATTTTTGCACTCCTACACACATAGTTAGAATTAGGTAGGACTCTATAACAGTTATCAGACGTTCTAACCCCTTCAAGGACCACCCCACCGAATGAATCATACACGGTACATCTCTTTTCCACAAAGCTAACTAACCTCAAAATCAGCATCACAAATTTGACTAATACTTAACAAGTTCAACTTTAAACCTTCCACATAAAGCACATTTGAGATTATAGGTAATCCATGTATTTGTACAGTACCTTTGCCAAGAATAGGTGTAGAACCCTCATCTCCAAAGGTAACCATACCCCCATTGCATTCATCAAGAGTATGAATAAAGTCTTGTTACCACACATATGCCTAGAACAAGCACTATCAAAGTACCACATATTGAAATCTTGGGCTTTTAATGCAACATAGCAATTTACCTGACCTGAAAGTCCAGCTAGATCCTCCTTTTTAACCCAAACTTTCTTAGATGACGTGGTACTCCTAGTCAGCTTAGTAAGCATCTCAGTCAAATGACTAACCTGATTAGTCAGAAAACTGACCTGACTTGGAATATTCCGATTTCTACGCTCATTGCCTAACTTATAACATCTAGGCCTAGTGTGTCCTAGAGCTCCACAGTAGGTACATGTCTGTGGGTGTTTGGGCATAAAATTTCTACGTGATTGATGACTTTGTTCCCTTGAAACATTCTTACCCTTATTTGGACTGTTGACAGCGTTAGACTTCCTAGAGGCAGAAATGAATACAGTTTTAGATGGACCAACACCATGTGTATTACCCTCAACATATCCTAGACCTTTCCTATCTCCTGTAGGCTTATTCATTCCCAAAATATCATCCAATTTCTTAGTTCCACTTATGAAAGTCTGAAGATGAGCATTAGATTTCTCCAATTCACTAGTTAATGTCTTAACCTTGTCTTCCAACTTCTCATTGACACATTTTAACTCACTGACACTCTTAAGTGAATTCTGGAGATTACTAGCATGTCTCTCTTTTTCTCTTTCAAGTTCATCAACCTTTTTGAGTAGGGCTTTATTGACCTTTTTGATTTTAAGACTCTTTGAACAATAGTTGATAGGCCTCATGTATGTCTATGTCATCCTCATCCTCATTACTAGAATTATTGTTGTGAAGTTCTTTCTCAACCTTGTCACTCTCCTTATCAGATTCACTCTTAATAGTCGACACAAATGCCATATAGTTCCCTTCATCTTCACTACTAGATGACTCCTGCCTATCACTGGTCTCAGACTTGTTATCAGTAAGTGAAACAACTAAGGCCTTACCCTGCCCTATTCTTTGATTCTTCTTATAACTAGGGCACTCATTCCTATAGTGACCTATACCTTGACATTCATGGCACCTAACCAAACGTGGTTTATCACTAGAACTTTTATTGTTAAACCTTTCAGTTTTTTCTTTTGAGAATCTGCTAGGGACTCTACTTTTTCTATCCTGAGGCTTTCTTCTATTCTTGAGAGCCTTTTGAAATTTCTTCACAAAGTAAGCAATTTCATCGTCCCTCAGAGACTCAGTATCGGAAGATTCATCCTCTTTGATGGATTTTAAAGTAATGGACTTTCCTTTCTTAGGTTGTGTGATAGTGAGTTCATAAGTTTGCAAGGATCCGACAAGTTCTTCAATTTTAACTTCATCTAGATCCTTACTTTCCTCAACGGCAGTAACTTTAGGCCTAAATTTCTCGGGCAAGGACCTAAGTACTTTTCTATCAATTTTAGACTCAGGAATTTTCTCGCCTAAATTGAAACTAGAATTAACAATATCATTCAATTTTGCAAAAAATTCATCAAAGGTTTCGTCATCTTTCATCCTCACTTCTTCAAACCTAGAAGCTAACATTTGTAATTTCGAGTTCTTTACCGTTTTAGTTCCCTCGTGTGTAGTTTCAAGAATATCCCACACCTCTTTAGCAGTTTCGCACATTGACACTCTTCTAAACTCTTTGGGAGACACGACCATAAACAAGGCATGAAGTCTCTTTCTATTCCAATTACACTCAGCTATCTTATCCTTAGTCCACAGTGATATATCAGTAAGGTTAACAGTTCCTGATACGATAGTGGAGGGAGGTTTCCAGCCATTTTTCACACTCAACCAAACATGCTCATCTAAGGACTTAAGAAATGCACGAATTCTAACCTTCCAGTAAGCATAATTACTTCCGTCAAAGTATGGAGGTATAGAAAGTGATTGACTCATCTAGACAACTATGGGTCAGGACTCGAGATTTGGCTCTGATACCACTTGAAAAGGCTATAGTTCGACCCTACAAACACCTAGAGGGGGGTGAATAGGTGTCTATGCGAAATTTAACAATTTAATTAAGTTATGCAACAAGTCACATAAATTAAACGTTGTCCAGATTCATTCACATGATTTAACTACCTATGTTGAATTGCCGATTGAATTGAAATTGACAGAAAGCAATAAATAACACAAAAATTGTTGACGGAGAAAACCCAACTGGGTAAAAACTCCGGGCACAAGCCAGTAAGGATTCACTATAGAAGACTCTAACTTACAGTACGCCAGACATGACTGTATCTAACAACACTCTGACCTCCTTACTGTATCAACCAAAGCTCTCCTGGATTCTGCAGATCTGCGCCAAAATCTCAGCCTTGTATTTCTTCTATTTCCCGTGAATCAACAAGAACTCCAATTCTTCAATCAACCTCCTTCCCAGATCTTCAATCAACTGATCTTCTGGAAGTAGTGAGGATTTTTTATAGGTGTTTTGTTTGAAAATGTGTTTGATGTTTTTTCTTCAATGAATCATATGGTGAAGAGTTTTGCAATTTATCCTTTGGTAGAGAGGAAAATATTGTGCTATGTGTTTTGCCAAAGGTTGTTAATGAAAAACGGAATTTTTGTTTATATAGTAGGTCGTTTTTGGTAGTATGGAGCGTTTAAAATTCGTGAGGAAGGAAAATTACCAAACGCCGGATGACACTGTCGCTCGAGCGAAGTGCCGGCGAAACTCTAGCGACGCACTCTCGCTCGAGCGAAGTGGTGGCGAAACTCCAGTGACGCAGGTTCTGTTATTTAGGCTCGAGCGAAGCCAGGGCGAAACTCTAGCACCAATCTTGCGCCGTTTTCATCTTCAAAGCATCCAACTTTACCCTAGACCTATACATTAATTATTGCAAAATTGCAACACAAGTCCCTAAACTTTTAGACATTGACAAATTGGTCCTTGACTTTACAAACTCGACAAATTAGTCCTTTTGGTCACAGATTGCCAATTACAACATTTTCCTAACAATATTCTTCTTGATTATTCAACGGAAAATATTACATTTATGCAAATATTTATTTATTATAAATTACTATAGCTAAAGCGATATGATCACTATACCACTTTGCTTTGCAACTAAGAAGATATTGACATTTTCTTTGAGAAACTAGTTTTTATTTTTATTTTTTAATTGTAAATTCAATTGGTTAGAACTCCTTGACTTTCATTGATTGAAGGAAAAATTACATTTCTACCTCTGCCGCTTAGAAATTTGTGGGCAAAAAGAGGAATAAATTTTGCTAACTCAACTACCTAGAATTTCATGTTGATAAGGTGTCACATAATAGAGAGAGAAACGAAAAAAAAAAAAAAAAAACGTAGAAATATCAGTAGACAGTAGACAATAGGCTAGTGTATGTTTCCTCTCCATATTTATAGGGGAAAATTGGCTGTAAGAGATAAAATAATCACAATAATTAATGTTGCAACGGTTTAATCGTCATTCAGTAATGAACATATAATTTACAACAGAACTTTAATTTAATTTTAAACCCATCACCCGTGCTGTTCCATTTACCTACCATTCTTCCATCTGACGGAATTTATTTTGGCACCCATGACATAACTCATCTTCCACCTAATCGTAAGTGACACCCTTAACTTGGAAATGATAAATTGGAGGCTAGTTTGATGACATTACATTAAAATAATAAAACAATAGTTTTATTTTTAATTTTAAAACACTTTTATGATTTGGCACAATGGCACGTTAGTATGCCATATAGTTATTACGTAGAATACCTGTTTTTGCAATATGAACGTCAGTTTAGTAATTTAATCAGTTCTAAATTAAAATTGAAGTTCAGTGCTTTTGTTGAGACAAATTAATGATTAGTAAAAGGTTATGATTTTTGAAATTTACCCAAAAGTTGCTGATACACCTTTATCACTCCACTCCACCCCGCCTAACATCTACTTGCCATCTTAATGTCCCCCGGGGCATATTCCGGTGGTACAAAGGACAAGGGTAAGGTATGCTCAATCTTGTTAGCAGTCGCAGAGTGAGGGTTCGATTCCTGAAACATGGATTGAGACTTTTTGTGGGCACCAGTGTACAAGCAGCTCTTGTTCTCTGGTCTGCTAGAACACATCCCGCGATTAATCTCTCTCATGATACTTCAAGGACGGGACTGTGAGAGACCCTTAAAGTTGGGGTTCAGCCTTTTTTTTTTTTTTTTTTTTTTTNTGAACTTCTAAATAGAGCGAACTAATCAATTTTTCTGCTTGTTGGGAGGTCTTGTTATATTCCTCTTCTTATGCATTTTTTTTCCCAATTTATTACTATATTTTGTCTTACCTTTTTGAGAATAAATTTTGAGAAATGTATTTTTTGAAGAATGTGCAATTAAAAGTAAAAAAAAAAAAATTAATTATGTGTCAACGTGCAAAATTATTTTATTGGACAAATGTATGATTAAAAATGAGTTTTTTTTTTCCTTAAATAAGTTTCAGAAAAGAGGACCAAACAGGAGCTAAATATATACTCTACCTCTCTAGTAGCTTGAGTTTAGAGATGCAAAATATGTATATACAAGCTTTGTGTTTCCATGAGTCATGCCATGCTAGAGCATATCCATGATATTCTGTTTCTACAAGAGTATATTTGATAATTAAGAGAGCATCTATAAATTTATATAATAAAATTTTAAGTAATCCACATGCTCTTTATCTTTAACACTTTAATTTTACTACTCTCAAAATATATTTATTGTTTTTCCCAATCTTATATTGTCTCTAGATTCCCTTCAAATATTATATTATTTTTCTATTGAAAATTGCAGTACTTTGAATATATTTAATTATAGAGAGTGGGTTTGATTCTTGAAATTTGAATAGTCAAACTCATTCTCTTCTTTATAATGTTAATTTAAATAGTCTTTTGGAGCATAATTTTAAGGGATAAATTTTTAAACTAGAGGAAATCTTATGTTTAAAGTGTCTCTTGAAAATACTTTTATTTTTGTACCTATCTTGAGTTTGTATATAAAATATTATCATCTAGAAATAGTGATACTTAGGACTAGTTTGGTGACAATGGAGTTCTACCTAGACATATTCAATGAGTCAAAATACATATAAACTTTATTGAATAAATCTATATGTACTCTCGCTGCTATCTAAACTAGTGCTATACACTATTATTACTAAATAGCGTTTATCTTGTATTATCTTTATTCCTTTCAACTTAATAAATACTTCATTTATGTGGTGGTTTTGATTTTACAAACATTTTGTGTGTATATGTATGTATTGCATTATGAGAAATATAAAATATTATAGATAGTATGAGGAGTTAACATAATAAAACACATTTACTTTCCATAAGATAGAACCAATATTACAATATTAGTAGGCGAACCCTGCCACGCTTACTTCCTCTCCCACTGTTGATCTTACACTTCCTCATTTTATTTGTTGAAAATGGTTTTGGTTTGTGTTACTTTAATCTCAAAATAAAGTGAGATTCAAATTTAACTGGACCGAGCATATTATTGTTCTATTCCGTGAGATAAATAACATAATGTATTTATTTGTAAAAAATCATTAATTATTGAATGAAACATTTGAACTTTCAGTCACCCATTTGAAACTTGAAATGTTGAGAATTTGATTGATTTGGTGAACATTTGTCTCACATAGGGAAATTAGTGGGAAGCTTAAAAGGTGAAAGTTTGACCTTTAGGTTTGAGCCCCGAAGGGCACCTAGAGTTAGGACCTAGATACCATTAAATACACATGTTTGTGTCAATGCTATTTTTTCAACTCGCAGGACACGTGCAAGGATCCGGTCTGGTGCAGGTCTTGCATATAACTTTTTGGAGAAAATTTATTTGAATTTTTCGGACCAAATTATAATCAATCAAATTCTTTGGGTATTGGATGAACTGTTTTTAATGGTAGTAATATTTGGAACCATTGACCTTTTCGCGAATTTTTCAAGTTGTGAACTACATGTATGACCCATGATCGACGTTCATGATTGTTGTAAATGTAATAGACACCTCTATTTCATTTGAAAGATTGTCTGAACGTCTTCACTGTTTGTTAGATGCATTTTAGGTTGTTTGAGCGGCCAAGAAAAGATCATGAGACACAATTAGAGAGTAGTAAAACCATTCAAATGTAATAATCAATGCTTTAAATTTCCCTTCTCTCTATATTTTGATTACATAGTTTATACAAAACACAAATTTCAGTTCGTTGGATCTCCTATTGATTGTTGTACTGCTTTCGGTAAGAGACAAAATTCATTCTATCGAGGAAGACGATTGTTAATTGTCCTTAAGCATTGTAGAAATTGATAAATACATC